TCACTGAATGTCAAGTTAACATGAATCTGGAACAATTAATAACCCAAGAGATTTCTTGGCTTGGCTCCAAGAAGTGCTAACAAGAAGTAAAAATACAAGAAAATAAATATTGAAAATAGGGTTGATGTGGAAGCAGGTGAGGAAAACAAATAAATAGGACATGTTTGGAGAAAGGGGAAGAGACAGGCACAGCAGGTGGTCCAGCAGAGCTCATGCCCATCCTCAGTTGTGGGCTGGAACTGAAACCTCACCATGCAGAAGGAGATGTCCACAGAGGAGCTAGAAGAATTTCAGGAACAATGGGTCAGGGGGCCAAAAGCCAGCAAGGAGTCTATAATAACAGTTATAGAAAGTCTTCCGTCCATGCCAACGGTGAAGGCAGTGAAAATAAATAAAGAGAAAAATACCAGTTTCTATGCTCCTGCTTTCATCATAGTGCATCTGGACTGTGTGTTTCCATGTCACTCCTGACCATAAGAAGCATCCAGAACCTGCATACCTGAGCGTCTCATCGAAACTGTCCAGACTGCATTTGTCCTGGAGGCTTTCCAGCCCTGAGAGTTCTGTCTTGGATCCCCACACAAAGTGGACAATCCTCCTGGGGCTTGGTACTCAGGGGCTTTGCACCAGCCCCTGCATCACCCCATCCCACACCTGTTGCCCCCCATCAGTTAGGTCCTCTGGTCATAGGCATCCACTCAGCATTGGCTGTGAGAAAATGAAGGGCTGACCCTTCATTTTCTTCCTGCATGATCCTTGAAAAACCTGCTACTTCCTCCTGACCTGGTGATCATGGGTGGTCCCAGATAGTGTGGGTCATGGGTGGTCCCAAATGACCTGGCGATCATCTGTGGTCCCAGATGACTTGGTACTGATCAACTGTGGTCCTAGATGACCTGGAGGTGATCATCTGTGGTCTCAGATGATGTGGTGGTGATTATCTGTGGTCCCAGATGGTGGGGTGATCATGAATGGTCCCAGATGACCTGGTGGTGATCATCTGTGGTCCTAGATTTTCTGCCCCCTACATTGTAAGCTCTACAAGAGCAGGCCCTCTTTTGAATCCCACCATTCTTTAGACCAGAGGAGGTAGAGAGCAGTTGCTCAATAATTAATGATTTTATTTAAAGCTGGATCTGACTCGGTTTGTATTGCCTCTAGCACATGAGTGAGTGAGTGTGACAGCCGTCTCTCTGGGAGAAGCACCCTGCAGCAAGTACCCAGCTGGCTTCACTCTACCCTATAAGTGCAGTTGTAGACGTGACAACAAGATCTCCACATTGGCATCATGGATTTCGGGTCTCGGACTCACTAAAAAGGCAGGGAACTCTGTCCTGGAATCTGAGGAAGCTCAGAGCTTGAAGTGGAGATGTTGTGACTTAGAACACACTTGTGTTTGTGAACACGCTCATCCCTGTCCTTCACTGGCTTTCAAAATTACTCCGTCTTATGCCCCAGTGGGGGTGCATGCTTCGCCGATGCCCTTACTGTGCTCCTGCACCCCCAGTCCCCAGGGTGAGATTCGCCTATAGATTAAGCAAACGTACTTGGAAGCTATACTCACTTTTGAGTTACCTCTGATTTAAAAAGCTCTTGCTTTTGTGAATCTTACAGCTGCAGAGCAATTATTTCTTAATGCTATCCCATAGCATAAACGGTTAAAAAAAAAAAGTCTTAAATCAACATCTCCGTGGGAAAATCCTTCCACATGAATATTTAAAGAGTGTTTGAACCCGTTTCTTCAGTGTTTGGGTTTTGTTCTAACTCTCCCTCTGGCTCGCACCTTCGATTTAGTAAGCAAAATGTGTTTGTGATCCATTTGCCTTGGACTTATCTATTTTCCATGCAGGACTCCATGGTGTCCAGACAGACATTGCTCGGGCACCCTCTGCTGCTTCCTCCCGCCACTGTCCTTGCACTTGGGCAAACAGTGCTGCTTTGTTAACATTAAAGACCTGGGGACCCCTGGAACTCTGAGGTCTTTCTTCATGTCACTCAATGTCTGATTTCCTTCTAAATTTGGCAAATTACCTTTTATCTTAACTAGTTTGAAGACCCTCAACCAAGTCCTTTTAACAAACAGTGAATTCTTTAAAATAGGGCTGTTTTATTTCCCTTTTACGGCCTTTGTTGGTTAAAGAATATAGCCTGGGTAAAAGCTCATTTTCCTCTGTGCACTGTCTCCTTGGAATGTAACTGCCATTAAAAGTGGGGAGGGGGAGAAACGTGCGTAGTAAAGTGTGTGTTCTCTTATTTCTGATAAAGAAAAGCTCCATTGTTAGTTCTACACCATTAAATTATCAAGAATTATGGTCAAATTCCAAATGCCTGAATGTTAGGCTTTCTTTCCTTCTTTTTTTTTTTTTTTTTTTTTGTTTTATTGTAAGTTGTAGAATCTGTCTGTCTCTTTGGAGAAAATGATAATTACAATGTCTTACCGTAAGTAATCTGCATTTCCTAACTTAGGGTTTCAGGAGTTGCAAATGGACCACCTCATACACATCACACTTAGTGGGATTTGGGTGACTTGTAGCTTTGCGCTGAAATGGGTGGGCGTGGCTGATGGGGCGGGACTGGTCCTGAGCACCTGACTCCCTCAGGTGGGCTCCTGCTTTCACAGGCTCTCTGTCTCCTGTCTCTGTCTGTCTTTGGTTTGTCTCTGTCTCTATCTCTCCGTCTCTGTCTCTCCATCTCTGTTTCTCTGTCTCTCTCTTGCATGATGCTCCACTGTTGGGCTGAACTATGTGTTCTGAGAGGACGTCTATCAAAACTCCCCAGAGCTTTTTGGGAGGAAAGAGGTAAGGGGAAAACTGGGCAACATTGGAAGTGACATTGCAGTGGGTGGATGCACCTCCTCAGGTACACTGTGCTGAAGTGTGGCATCTCCCGGGAGCTGGGGAACCTCCAGACCTGCACCTCTGTGGCTGGAAAGTTAAAACACACTTGGGGCAACGTGAGAAAACCAGGCCTTAAAACTCCATAGAGACACATTCAATCAAACGTTCTTACGTGCTTGTGTGGCCCTTTTTTAAGTAAAAGAACAAAGTTTTGCACGACCGCGAGAAAGCAACGATCTGTTTTCACTCGCCTCTCGGCTAAAGGCAACACACATCATTGTAGCGAGAGAACTTGTTCTCAGGAAACATTAGGGCATGCTGCTGGAGCAAGTTAGAACCGGGCGTCCCTGCCGTGTCCTGGGCCCCGCTGAGGGAAGACCCCGCTGCCTTCTGGGGCTGTCACCTGTCTTGTGGCCTGAACCTTCGTCCAGATGTCAGGGACTCAGCCACCTTCCCCAGCCCCCCTGAGTTCTGGGATGTCCGTGTCACACCTTCCTGGCGCCCGTGCCCTTGGCCCTTCCCTCCCAGGACCATGATTGGGGCCCTTCCTCCCTCCCTTGTGCTCTGTCTCAGTGGCAGCCCTGAGTCACCCTGGAAACAGTGCCAGCAAGGACCCCCCAGAGCTTCACGGGGGGAGGTATGCTACCTTTTAAGGAATGGAGTATCTTAAATTTGAGAATTTCTTTTTTTTCTTGTACTGATGAGGGAAAAAGTGAATGAGGGTCCCTCAGCATCTGAACCCCGTTCCTACTTCCCCAGCTTGGACTCTGAGAGGGAACAAGCTGTTCTGAACACAGGTTCTCTACCTCATAAATATTACTGGGACACACAATGACAGGTAAACCTGTTCAGATACACGCTCAGTAGTCAGACGGCCAACCACCACCGAGCGGTGCTCAGAAATAACGACAGCTCTCCCACGCCTGGGCGCCTCCATTGGTGAAGCATCCGCCTTAAGCTCAGGTCATGATCTCAGGGTCCTGGGGTCGAGTCCCAACTGGGCTCCCTGCTCAGCAGAGAGTCTGCTTCTCCCTCTGCTGCTGCTACCCCTGCTCGTGTTCTCTCTCTCTCTCTCTCTCAAATAAAATATTTGAAAAGAATAACCACAGCTCTCAGTTTTCTACTTTTTCCTTCCTTCCTTCCTTTCCTCTAATGAATTGCTAATGCTCCATAGATCAGAGAAAACACGTCCGTGGGGCAGGGGATACGCCAGTAGGCAAAGGCCCATGGAGATCTGTTTATCCCGGAGTACGGAGCCTCCCTGGATGCTTCCTGACTCCACCTTCATGCTCGCTGCTCTGCCCGGCATGACGGGGGCTGCACAGGTGTGAGGCTGGACAGTGTGCAGTGGGATTGTCCACCGAGTGCAGGTGTGGGGAGGGTGGGCCCCAGGAAGACCCTGCTGGCTCCGTGGTGGGGTCTGGCATTGGGAGGAGCAGAGGCCAGGATGGGGACCCTGGAGCAGGCAGGGGGAGCACGGGCATCTCCGTGGGCTCCCTCGTGGTCCTGTGCTTGCATGTACCTGCCATATGGGGTGAGAACAGGCCCCCCGGCCTGTGTGTCCACTTCATGCTGGGGGTGAGGTGTGCATGTGTGCAGTGCTGCTGGGCATGTCGTGGGAATCAGTGGCCTCCCAGGGATACCCAGGGGCTCCCAGGGGTTCCCTGGGGCTTGGGTGCTTATTCAGAAGATGGTAATCTAGTTCAAGCAAGTGGGGAAGACACGGTGGCTGGGACACAGGTAGTTACAGTGCCTTCCTCCCATTACCCACCCCGTGGACTCCTGACTCTCCGCGGCAACTTCCAGGCTGGGGCAAGACAGGGCTCAGGCAGGAGGGGCTGGGAAGCCAGTTTAGAAATTAAAGGGCCAACTATGTCATTCAGGCTGGTGCCAGTCCCGCAGCACTCCTGCGCACCCCACAGCAGGTGTACAGCTTCCTGCACCACTTAGTGTCTCATGTGGGAATCCGGCCACGGGTGCTGGTTTGGAGATGAAAGGTTGTAGAGACCGTGGCAGCCCCCAGCTGGGATTTTTAGGGGTCCCTGCGATGTTCCTGGCAGCCCCCCTGCCATGGGCGGTGGCCTCGGGCAGACTTCTGTCATTGGCTGCGCTGCAGAATGCCTTTTTACATGTGTCTGGCTTCTTTTTTTTTTCTTCCCCAAGTTTTTGCGAGTTGACCAAGACAAAGACAAGGACTGCAGCCTGGATTGTGGGGGCTCCTCTCAGAAGCCCCTCTGCGCGTCCGACGGCAGGACCTTCTTGTCTCACTGTGAGTTCCAGCGCGCCAAATGCAAGGACCCTCAGCTAGAGATTGCTTATCGAGGAAATTGCAGAGGTAAGCTGGTGTGATCATTTCTTCAGACACTTGTCGGTCATCCGTGGATGGGTAAGACCATGCATTTTGTCTACATCTTTGCTACATGTAAAAGCTCAAGGGCTTTAGGTGTGTGATGTTTTTTCTTTTCAGGTGTGTAAAGAAGAAGAGTAGTTTCTGGGACTCTCAGGAGCAGAGGCATCTTTTAAAGATGTTTAATGCTCTTCCCTTAGGATAGTTCAAATTGGCAGCATATGAAATTATTTCATAGAATTATATATACTTATATATGCCGTCCCCCATAAAAAGCATATTGAAGTGTCACATTTAGAGGTAGCAAGCTGGAGTCTTGGTTGTAGCTAGGACTTGCTCTGTCTGTCTTTGAGGGATGGAAGAGAGCAGAACATACCTTTTAAAAAAGATTTTTATAAGTGAAAAAAAATTTTTTTTTCTCCTTAAATATCCATTCTGGGGCACCTGGGTGGCTTAGTGGTTGAGCATCTGCCTTTGGCTCAGGTCATGATCCTGGGGTCCTGGGGTCCTGGGATCGAGTCCCACATCAGGCTCCCTGCAGGGAAATTGCTTCTTCCTCTGCCTGTGTCTCTGCCTCTCTCTCTGGGTCTCTCATGAATAAATAAATAAAGTCTTAAAAATATATACATTCCCACTTGTAGAAAACAGAAGAAAATAATTTATCAAATCTCATCCCCTGAGTTTCCAGAGTTCTGTATCATGTTTTGTCCTCGGACTTGTTTTCTCAGGGGCCATTAGGTTTCAGTAAACCATATACTGTTTCTGATTTCTTCAGAGAAGACTTGAGTATAAAGCCTCAGATTCGCTTGACAGAGATACAGACACATGGAATCTTTGTTTACTCAAGTGAACAACTGATACTCTTGAGGCAGCTTCATTCTGTATGATTCTGAAGTTGAATGACTGCTTAGAACCAGCCTGATTTTTCCCAATAGATTCTGAAGTTATTCACTGTGGGTGTGCCTGAGACATGGCGGGTTGGGCTCCTCACCACCACAGTGGAGTGAGTATCCCGATAAAATGAGGCAAACCAATGTTTTGGTTTCCCACAGCATGTGATTTCTGTCTACACTATCCTGAAGTCTACTAAGTGTGTAATAATAGCATGATGTCTAAAAAAAAATCCATACCTGAATTACAAAATACTTTATTGCTAAAAATGGCTACCCTCAGCTGAGCTTTCAGTAATTTATAATCGCTGATCACAGATCACCAACAAAATATAGTTATGATGAAAAGGTTTGAAAAATTGCAAGAATCACATTTCTGGCTCAGAGATAGAAGTGAGCAAAAGCTGTTGGAAACATGGCGCCAGTAGACACACTTGATGCTAGTTTGCCACAGACCTTCATTTGCAATATCTGAGAAGCACACTAAGAGGAAAAACAGTGAAATGAGGGATGCCTGCAGTGACACTTAGTAAACTAACGCTTCTTGTTATGAATGGTTCCCTGAAGAGTAACCTGGATGAGCATGGGAGGACATCACTGTTGGTGACCTTCAGGCCCTCTCCCTGCCTTTGATTGACCTCTAGTTCCTAGACATTCAGTGACTCTGCAAGAACCTTCAGTTCATAATGCCATCATCAAGGCTGTGGACAGCCTCCTCCATTCTCCAAAATGGCCCATGGGAGACTTTCCAGAACCTTAGTGCTCTCCCCACCCAGCTCTCCTCTGACAATCTCTCACGTGGGTTTCAGGGACCTGCAGTGACCAAGAGAGCTTGCACCTCATGAGGCAAAGTGAAACCGAGGTTCCCCAGTGCTCAGAGGGCAGCTCCCCCATCTGGGGTCATGAAAACAGGACCTCCAAAGCCTCCCAAATGGCATCCCCCAACACTAGAAATTTGTTTACTCTGCCTTCAACAAAGACTGAGTTAGCCCAGGTACTTGGTGATGAAATAGTTTTTGGAGAAGCGATCTTTAAGCCCAGGCACTCCTGCTCATCAGAAACCACCATTCCTGCTTTGTTCCACTTTGCTTTTCAATACAGACCACTCCAGGAGTTCTTACACATTTTACTAGGAAGGATGGTGTGCCCAGACAGTTGTCTGGGGGTTAAAATGATTTGCATTTTTCTGGATATGTCTCCTGAGGCAAGAAAAACAAAAACAAACTATTGGGATTTCATCAAAATAAATCTTTTGCAAAGGGAAAGAAACAATCAACAAAAATAAAAGACAACCTACTGAATGGGAGATGATATTTACAAATGAAATATCTTTTTTTTTTTTGAGTCAAAATGACTGTTTATTTGGGTCAGAGTGCAAGCTACTTACGGCAGAAAACCTAGATTGAGGTCCATCAGTGGAAGGTCCTGACTGACATGCATCTGAGTTTGTTGTTTGTTTGTTTGTTTTTTTTAAATTTATTTTTTATTAGTGTTCAATTTGCCAACATATAGAATAACACCCAGTGCTCATCCCATCAAGTGCCCCCCTCAGTGCCTGTCACCCAGTCACCCCCACCCCCCACCCACCTCCCTTTCTACCACCCCTAGTTTGTTTCCCAGATTTAGGAGTCTCTCATACAAATGACATATCTAATAAGGGTTAGTAGTCAAAATATATAAAGAACTTACACAATTCAACATCAAAACCACCAATAGTCCAATAAAAAATGGGCAGAAGACATGAATGGACATTTTTCCAAAGAAGACATCTAGATGGCCAACAGACATGTGAAATGATGCTCAACAATGAAATCAAAACCATGATGAGATGTCAGAATGGCTGAAATCAGCAACCCAAGAAACAACAGGTGTTGGCGAGGATGCAGAGAAAGAGGAACCCTCGTGCACTGTTGGTGGGAATGCAAACTGGTGCAGCCACTGTGGAAAATGTTACGGAGATTCCTCAAGAAGTTAAAAATAGAGCTACCCTATGATCCAGTAATTACACTACTGGGTATTTACCCAAAGGATACAAAAACACTAATTCAAAGGGATACACACATCCCTATGTTTATAGCAGCACTATCCACAATAGCCAAATTATGGAAGCAGCCCAGATGTCCGTCGACTGATGAATGGATAAAGAAGATGGGATCTGTATATACAATGGAATATTACTCATCCATCAAAATGAATGAAATCCTGCCATTTACAATGATGGGGAGGACCTAGAGAGTATTATGCTGAGTCAAATAAGTCAGAGAAAGACAATTATATGATTTCACTCATATGTGGAATTTAAGAAACAAGACAAATGAGCAAAGGAAAAAAAAAAGGAGGAAGAGAGAGAAACCAAGAAGCAGACTCTTAACTCTCCAGAACACACTGCTGGTCACCAGTGGATAGGAGATGGAGGGATGGGGAAGACGGGTGATGGGGATGAAGGAGCACACTTGTCTCGATGAGCACTGAGTAATGTGTAGAATTGGTGAATCATCAGATCGTACACTTGACACTAATATAACACTGGCTGTTCACCATGCTGGAATTCTAAAAAAATGATTTGCAATGGGCCTCAGCATGGAAGAAGTTTGATCATGGTTTATAGAAATGTGGCATCAAAGAAGTGGCATCTGTGTAAGGACTGCTCCTCCTATTCTGTGTCTAATTAGCGTGTTCTTGTTCCAAACACATCAATCTGAGAAAAATTTGGATGCCTTGGTAGAAGTTCCGCTTACCAACCCTGCCCTCGATGTCCAGCAGGCAACACCCCAAGCTGTCCGGGGTGCCGACAGGGAGAAGGTGGTTCCTGGTGAGTCGGAGGAGGAGGTAAGGTGAGCACCAGGGTGGACGTGGCCCAGGGACAGGAATCCTGCTGCCACAGGGCCGAGTATGCTGCAACCCCCCACCCCCATCACCTAAGGGCATGGATATTGCAGATTCGAAACACAGCCAGCTCGAAAGCTTGCTTGTCTGACTGGGACGGAGGGTGCACAAGACCGAATGTCCCTTTACACCACTTCATGTGATACCAATAACCATCTGAATTTTTTTCTCTAAATCATTCCCAGCATTGAAATAGGCTAGTGCACCATAGGGTCAATTCCACAGATGGGAAACTGCATATTTTGAGGGCATTTACATGGACTGGGGACTGGGTTCCATAGGCCTGTCTGTTTCAAATGTACTAGTTTGAAAACAACAATTAAAATATTTTAGTCCATATTTAATTAGGTTGGGTTAAAATGTTTGATGATTTCGATGTTATGACCTAACCGTTGACCTTGAGTAGAAATGCAGTGGTTTGCGCTGATGGATGTTTCTCATATTTTCTTAGAAATCTGTGGAGTTTGTGTTTTCAGAACTTAGCAAACATATTAATATTTTTCTTTTGATCTGAGACAATTAGAGCTGTCTTTCTTTTCAACAAAATTTCCGGGATTGAATTAAAAAAAAACAACCCTCCCCCCCAAAAAAAAAGGAAGAAGAAGAAAGTCTAATGCCAGGAGGCATGGAAGTCTGTGGAGGTTTCTGGAAACAAAGTGATAATGGAGCTCTCACAGGGATAGCTGTCTTGGGGAATCCCATGAACGAGGAGTTTCTTTCTTTCTTTTTTTTTTTTTTAAGATTTAATTTATTCATGAGAGACGAGAGACAGAGAGAGAGAGAGAGAGAGAGAGAGAGAGAGAAAGCAGAGACACAGGCAGAGGGAGAAGCAGGCTCCATGCTGGGAGCCTGATGCGGGACTCGGATCCCAGGACCCCAGGATCACGCCCTGGGCCAAAGGCAGGTGCCAAACCGCTGCGCCACCCAGGGATCCTGAACAAGGAGTTTCTGAGGAAGGGAACATCGTTACAAAATGCTCCTGATCTTGCCCCACTCTTGTCTGCTGCCAGCATCTTGTGGTCCTACGTCGTGACCGCCTGAGCGAGGCTGCAGTGTCCATGAGCCCACGGGGAACCCTCAACAAGTCCCCAGCGAGACCCCGTCAAGCCCACGGCACTCGGGCCAGGACGTGTGGGACCTCCGCAGTGTCACTGTGGAAGCAGATTGCATCCTCACAACAGGGACAGATGAATGGTTCTCATTCATAATAAC